GGGAGGAACAGACCAAGTTCCAAGAAGTCGAGAGGGGGGGGGGGCTGGGAACAGAAGATTGATTCGCAGATGTAAAAGAGACAGCCAGAGACAAAGGCAGAGGAAAGGTAATGTGAGTACTGTGGAAGTGGTCGAATATGGCACAGTCAGTCGAGTCATGGTAGTTTAGAATGCGAAGTCAACTTCCGGATTATAGACCTTTTGCTGTATGAGTACACGTTGCCCAGGGTGCACCACGTGGAGATAGGTCTATCGCACACCCTTATATATTATTGCAAATTTGATGAACAGCAAAGCATGACCAGTAAGTAAATATATTCGACTCCAATTTCAACTAATACTTTTCGTGGATTAGCTAATATGGCCTCTGTAAACAAGATCACACCCGGTTGCAATGCTATCGTTTGTACGGCCACACTTTCAAGAACATTCTAGAGCTCGCGAAGTTTCCTTGATCAACCTTGATAGCGTTATATACTCCGCATATTTGAAGGCATTAATATAAAGGGAATCGGGAAAAAGGCCTTAGAGGTAAATTTCCCCATTTTAGGGGCTGGAATTAATTATATCGATCTAATGAAAAGCACGCTGGTTTGACACAACTTTTTCAACAGCATTATTTAATCAATTAATGAAACGCTGAATTTCATTTAAATCCAAAAGTGTATAGTTAAATATGGTTTTTTTTATCAGATTTAAAAAACCACTGGAACAATATTGATTTATAATTTTCATTAATTTGAATTTATTGAGCGCTTCAAAGTATCCCAATTTATACAACACTGTGCACTAATTCTCATTTTAAAAGATTTGTTTGTGCTAATAAATCGATTGAGAATGAATCCGGTTTTAGATTAACTTTTAAACAGTACCCAAGGTTCTAAACTTCCTTAAATATTAATAAAATCTATTTAATTTTCTTATGAATTGATTAGAACTTGAGTCCACTTGGTTTAAACCGAAGCCCTTGCCGAAGTTAATGGGTTTAGTTCTTTTCTCATGCGCAAAAAAATATCGAAGCATTCAACCCTTGGGCATTTTTTTTCTTCATTTTTTTTAAGATTTTATTCTGCGTCAAATGTGCGAACGATTGATCGATATCATCAATCCGGACGACTGGGAGTTGATAGCCCAACGCCTTGGCCTCCACAAGGACACCCTGTTGCTGCTTGAGAAGGAACTTCCTGGCGCTAACAACTTTCGTCATCGAGTCTCGAGAGCGCTTGGGTACTGGAGCGGATTTGCGTTCTCCGATGCCTCCTTGATTGGAAAGGCTCCGGGCCAAGGCATTCCAGTATCCACGATGAACTTAGAAACCCCTAAAACTAGCCCATCAGCAACTGACGATCCGAATAAGGTGAATTCAATTATAAGGGGAAATATTTATTTATTTATTTATTTCAAATGGCAGGCGTTTTGATAGCTATCATTAGCTCTTTAATTGACTTCGGGCTTCACAGAGGGAAGGTTCATCAAAGTAGCAGAAAGTCGAGGGGTGGGGAACAGAAGAGCGATTCACAGATGTAAAAGAGGCAGACAGACACAAAGGTAGAGAAAAAGGTAAGGTGAGTACTGTGGAAGGGGTGGAATATGACAACCAGGAGGGACGTGGTAGTTTGAAGTGAGAAGTCAACTGCC